TCCGGAGCTGGAGGTTTTTTCCATAACATTTGCTGTCCCAGCGCCACTCATGGTGGAAAATGACTTTTTTCATGGAACACTGAGTATTTTAGAGCTGTTCCAGTGCTAGTGGAAAATAACCTGTGTTTGAGGTCAGAAAAATAGATTAAACTAATTTTAAAGTTTATAGCTGCTTAGGTCTATAGTAGAAATTTTTAACATCAGAGGATTTAGGTCCATTGCAAGAGTAAGATTCTGATTTTTTTAAGGTTTTCCTAAGGTTAAGAAGGCCTGAGTTCAGGAATGAGTCTTTGTTCATGAAGGACAATTACAGCTATCCTTAGTTTTAAGCATGTATTTAATTGCTTTCCCTAATAAGGATGGGTTTAGTCCTGTGCTTAAGTGCTTTCCTGACTTGGAGCCATAGGATATGATTGTTTGATTCTGCTACCGGCGGATGTCAGTGATGGATGTCCCACTTGAATCACTGGGATCTGAATTGCACTCAGGGATTTTGAACCTTTGGCAGTTTGGGTGAGTCGATATCTTTGGGCTCATCCCCAGCTGCATTTGCCTGGAGGTGGGATATGAAGGAAACAAAGGTGGCTACAGTCCATCTCTTACCTCTTCCCCTTTATGTACTGGCTGGGGATCAAACCAGGAACTCCAGCTTGAAACTCTTCTCACTACAATTCTGTAATGAAAAAGGCTCTTGAAGACAGTGTGAAATCTCTGTGTAAATCAACCCTTATGTAAAGGGGAGTCAAGAATTGAGCCTTGTGTGCAGGATTAATTCCTCCATGAAGTCCTACAAGTATGTCCCAAACCTTAAGTATAATTTTAGCTCTTTTGAGGGGAAAACAAAGCACTAACACTTCGTGTTTGGCTTATTAGTTTAGTTTCTACTTGGTTAAGAAAACAGTACTTGAAAGTTTTAAAGTTTTATTTACATGAGTACTAAAGGGTAAAGTGCAGGTTTTAGGCCTTAATATTTGCCTAGAAAAAAAAAAGAGCTTTTTTTTTTTTTTTTTGCATTTTGATGATATCTTGAACTCTGTCCTGCAGCTCCTGTGTAGGAAAGTTAGTGCTTTTTGCAGTGCTACAGTAAGACTTTTGTCACAGGAGGAATGTAGGAACTGTGTGCTTTGCCTGCGTTCTCACAAGAGCTGATGGATGAGACTTCACTCTGTGTACAGTGCTGCATACCAGCAGGGAGGAAAAATCTTATCTCAGAAGTAGTTTGCTATGGAGTCTAATCTTTAAAGGAAAAGCATCTAAAATCTGCATAACAAGACCTTTTACACTTGAAATGAATAAATGGTGGCAGCATTTTGGGGTTGTGTTACGTGCTATGGTATGAGAAGGAAGTTTATGCAAAGTACCTTCAAGCACAGACACTACTAAAAAAGGTAAATACACACCTAAAAATAGGGCTCGTTTGTATCCTCCAACAGTAAGTTTACCCTGATAGGAATTCCAGAAACTACAGTATACACAGGAACTCAGTGTCTTATGGGAGTTATGGCAAAAAAAAAGGTTTTTTAACTGGCAATATGAACATAGAGATAAACTCAAGCTGTCCAGAAGAGCTTGAAATGTACACACTGCTTTGCCAAATGATGCAAAGGAGCTGGACTATAAAGGATGTCTTTTTCTCCTGCTTTATTTATTTAAACCAGTTATAGGGTATCTATCAGCAGATAGCACCACACAATAAACCTTTTTTCTGCCTGTATTCTCTACTGCATCTCTCCGGATGCATAGCTCCGAAAGGTTCATATTACATTTGTGCTCCCCAGGTTTGAGTTCCCCTCAAAGACAGAGGTAGAGTCCCCTGATTTCTAACACAGAGCTGTATCCTGACTGCCGCATGTGCACTGTGCTGCCCCCTCTCCTCCCTTCACGCTGTACTCCAGCCTGTAACAGGTCCCTGAACTCCTCTCTGAAAGATATCTTCCTTTTTCCTTTAGCTCAGCATTGAAGCTGAGGATTTGCCTTAACACTCTTAATGGAAACCTAACCAGGAGCCCACAGAAAGAGCTCAATTCCAAATACCAGTTGTTCTTAAGCAGATGTCCTGGTATTTCCCAGGCTCGCTCTCAGACAGTGGATCAGTTTTCACATAATACAAAGGTTGGGGAAAGAAACAGAACCATGAAATGCAAATGCTTGAAGGGTCCTCAAAATGATTGTGAAGAGGCTGGCACAGGGGCACGCAGTTCACATAGAAATTATTGACTTTTAGATAAAAGTCTTACTTTGCAGTGGTTTTGGTAACATACATTGCAGGAGTGTTGTGATTACCCCATTACTATTTTCAGCTCAATCAGCTCATATTCATGGGTTCACCCTGAAGGTCTCTTGATAACATTAACTCTGGTCTAAAGTGACAGCATGCTGTCACCACATATAATACGTAATAGTCTTGTTTTCTCCATGTATTTAACTGATGTTTTTTCATGGCTTTCCCCCACCACACACTTCATCTAAGGTTGCTTGGATGATTTCATTGTGCCTTTTAGTTGGGCTGGTTGCTGGACTCCCGTGCAGGGATCTGTCCATGCTTCTGCTCCTTAAACCTAGAATTTACGTTTGTGTATTCACATTATTCACATGAGAATTGGTCTGATTTACCTGCGTGCGTGTGGTATTCCTTGCTTGTTTCCCCCAGAGAGAAATGTATACTGCTCTTTGGAGAAAGAAAGAGGAATCCTTTGGTTCAACTTAACTATGTTTAAGGTGTGCGACAGATACCTGATTCTGAACTTAAAATGAGAGGCAAAGTTATTCTGCAGATTTCTTCTGCAAACTGAACTCCAGTCCAGGTTTTAAAAGGCTCTACATGCCTCTGAATGAGACATGGACAGAGAGTAGAGACATGGTAATTTTTCTGGGATAAACTCTAGGATACAAACCAAGTTTGGAAGAAGGAAATATTTTAAGTTAAATTCCAGGAATGAGGGGCATTTCTGAATGCTGTGGTGAGAGCGGATGGAGGAGGTATCATCGGGTGACATTGGGCTGAAGTTTGATAGAGGCTCAGGTTAAAAGCTTAAATTTGAGCCTTTCCAAATGTTTTTATGTTTTGTGGAATTTGACTTTAAATCTGTTGACTTCAGTCCCATCTCAGCCGTGCTGCTTCTGTCTTTTTTTTGGCTCTCATTGATCTGCTGGATTTTGGTGCCAGTGCGGGTATTCTGGCTGCAAACCTCTAGGCCTTAGATTAAAACAGCTCAGGATCCTCACAACACCTCTTCAGCCCATCTGTATAGTAAGTATATGTGCCTGAATGGCCATGGAAAGTACACTGTAAAGGAAAAATATGTCTGAGAATGGTACACTTTAGCCAGAAAGCAGGGGTAAAATGGAAAAAAGACCCTTAAAAAAAGATCTCATCCTAATTCCAAAAGGATTTTTTGAAGTGGCATAAAGCTTCTTCTGGAAACTTGAAAACCAGCCTGGTTTTTTGGACCCTTGTGCACCCTGCAGTTTTGTGCTTTGTTTATGCAGTTTTATTCAGTAAAACAAAATCTCATGAGTTTAAAAGCACTGAACAGGTGCTAAATAGTCTAGGATAAAATCTGTGATTATGCAGAAGAGTGTTTCTCTGCTGTTTTTCTAGACAAAATGATGGGGGGAGCTTTCTCCTTCAGTGGATAGCAGGTTCCAAAAAATATGTCTGGTTCCTATTACAGTAAAGGAAAATCCTGAGGTGTGCATTGGAAGTGCTAAGCCAGTGATTGAAATGTTAAAGTTGTTCCTAAAGGCTATTCCACATCATGAAGACATCATCTGTAAAGTAATACTGCACAATGATCTGTGAAGAGAGGAGGCTGAATTAGCATTCAACATGGCTGAAACTTCCAAATGTCCCACAGTCAGGTCAGCTTCTATAGCAGAACCTGGTTTGGTAGTCTTCAGTGAGTGCTGACCAATGTATTTAGAGAAGAAAGAGTTCAGGTAAACAGCAGTTTAACTACTCTGGCTTGTCTTGTGCCATGTGCCTTCATGCACCATTGCGGCTAGTCACTATGCCACATAGGCCAGGCTTACCTCGTGGTTTATCTAGGATTTCGGAGCTTTGAAAGAGCACTTCTGCAGCAGCAGCTCACCCAGAGCACAAGCAATGGAGCATCTGATTTGCCAACTCACAAAATACCTTCTTAAAGACAAATGTTTGAGGAAAATAAAACCCTAGAAGTGCTCCCACAGAGCTGGTGCTGTGCCAGTGGAAAAATCACCCAGTTAAAAATAAATGACCAAAGTCATTAATTGATTGAAACTTAGAATGGCAAGTTATCTGCAAATGCTGGTTTTTGGTGTTCAAGTGTTACAGTGTGTATGTTGATAGACCTTTGGATTTCTAAAACATCGTGAGGTTGCTTAACAACTGGGCCCCTCGGTTAGGTGTGAATATCTCTTTCTGTCTTTTCCTTCACACTTCACTGTTACAAGTTGTACATATGATATCTGTAAATTGGAGAAGCTTTCCAGAGCTTTTTTGGGAGAAACTGGCCATGTGTATTTTCCAATCTAATTGTTAAGTATATCCTTTTTTCTTCAAGAGAAATATTTTGCCTCCATTTCTTTTTCTTTATTTTTAATTAGAAATTGAATATTCAGTACTTCCTTCATATATTTGGGCACGAATGAAAAGATGCTGTGGAGGTCTTTATGTCAGTTGGGCCTGATTGGAGTCAATGTTCTCACATCTTTTAGTAGCAGGACACAGAAGGACATTGCTTTTGTAGGACTGGTAGCAGTGTTTTAAGCTGTTCTGTGAGCTTGCCTTACAGTGCTTAACCTTTAATCTCAGTGGGATACTGAAATATTAATAGGACTCAAGTTCTGTTGTGAGTGGAAGAAGTACTTGATTTGCTTCAGTGTTGTTACTTTGGTTTATATGAATTGTGAAACAACAAAGGAACTTAGAATTCTTGAGTGTTATGGTAACAGTGTGCAGTATGAAATCTATGGTTTATCTCTCGCAAATAAATGTTTTGATTACTTGCATTTTGAAGGTGTTCCCCAGCCAAATATAATGTGGTATAAGAAGAAAGACATTCTACAAATCAATTCTTTCTTGAGTTTGAATGGCTCTTTGTTTCTGAGGAATGTGTCCTATGAAGATGCAGGAACATACACTTGCAGAGCAACTAACGCTCTTGGAAAAGCTGAAGCTTCATCTGTTATCCACTTAACTGGTAAGTGCTAAATGAGAATTCCTTACTGATAACAACATCGAGCCACTTCCATTATGAAATTTAACCAATAAAATAGTCGGGGGGGGGGGGGGGGATATTTAGCACTTTATTATGAACCTGGAATTTTTGATTGCATCTGATTCCCTGGGTTCTGTTCTTTATTTTGTGTTTCCTTAAATAGTGGATCTAGGTGCAGATGGTTTGACTTGTGACTTCTTCAAAACTTATTCCATCTTCTTGCTTCCAGGCAGCAAATAGCAACCATTAATCCAGCAGACACATTAGAAAACTAAATCCACTGTCGCATTGTTGCCAGCACTTTTATCTAGGGCTTGAGTTATTGAGAAAATCTGCAGGAAAATGCAGTGAAATGAAAGAAAAGGCTTGGTTTGTGTTTTATTTTATTATATGGGGACATAGGAAACAAAAAATTCTGAAAATGAGCTGCTAACTCTCAGAATAGAAAATGTAAAGAAAAACTCCATTTAAATGACTCTATTGTAAGTAGATTAATAATGTAATACTGTATAATACAATCACGCCTTGCAAATAGCTCTAATAAATGGATCATTCACGTCTAGAGATTAACTTTCTCACCATTTTGCTGTACAAAGTACAACACAGCTACACATGGCCAGTCCTGCTACAAAGCTTCCTTTCTTAGGCACACATGTGTCAGGCAGGTTATAGATGTTTGGATCTGTTGGCCAAGGAAGAGGTACCAAAGACATAATAGAAGTCTCTGTGTGAGGATGAGTGTAGACTAAAGCTCCAGTCTTGGTTTCAGTTTTCCTGGAGTACCTGAAAACTTCAGATGTTCCAGAAAGGAATATTATTATAATGATGTGACTGGGAAGATTGCTCACAAGACTCTGAACTTCGTTTCTATTCCTGGTCACATGATGTTAGTCCAAATAAACCTGGAGTGGATAGGAGAGGGCTAAATTCAGCAATATTTTTTGGCTGTGCAGAACTACAGGGACAGCAGAAGACTTCTGCTGTCAGGGCCTGCAGATTGCACTGATTCTAAAGCAACATCATGTCAGCATTTTGGACCTTGCTACGGCAATTACTGCCTGACCTGGGGCAGTCGAGTAGAGCAAAATCTGTGCAGCTTTTCTAATCTAAGTTCCTAAGGACTGATGAGGCAACTAGCCTGTTGCCTGTGTGGGACTGGTCTCCCTGTGGTTCTGAGACTGTTTTGTCCCAGTGTTTACATGGACAAATAGGAGGTTTTGTGTACACCAAGGAAAAATGTTGAAGCCATGTAAAATGACCCCCAGAAGTCAGAATATAACAAAAACCTGACCCACAGAAGTTAGAATATAACAAAAGATTAAGCCATGCTGGAAGGAGAATCATAGCTATTATGCACATTCATTAAAACAGAAATATTGACTGAATGGCAAGAACTGTGTGTTACTGACAAATTGCCAGGTTTTGGCAGTTATTCTGTCTGGCATATGATAAAAAGAAGTTGCTATAGTGATAGGCATGTGATTCTGCATACATTATGCTATCTCTATGCATAATGAGATTTTAGAATATTTTTTTCTTTTTTCTGTTGTAACACTGTTATAATTCCATCTAATGAAACAGAGGAATTGGCCTGATTCCACTGACAGAAATATTTTTCTTAATATTTCTGTATGTGAATGACTGGCATTGAAATGATAAATAACGTAGTCACGAGAAACAGGAAATACGTCATACATCCTACGAATCCTGGTTTTACTCTTGTTACAGGCTTATTTTTCAAATAAATAAAATTCAATAAAATCGATTGAGAAACTTGCATAAACATGTATAAATAGTTTGTTTCCCTGTTTATATATCTCAAATACATTTGTTAGATAGTTAACTGGATAAATTAAGTTCATCCTGAAGAATACCAAAGCACTGTTATCCTTCTGCTTCATAAGTAACGTGTTGGGCATTTTGATACAAATGGGTTTTTTTAGCACTGTGGTTTAATTCTTGCTAAGAATATATCTTACGCATTGTCTTACAGAACAAAGATTTATAGAGAATAACACCCTATTATCAAAGGGAAGCAGAAGAAAGCGTGTTATAATGGCATCTGGAATTGGTACAAATGTCAGTGTACTACCTGGAGATCCACTGAGAATAGGTACTTTGTCTTTTCTTCTGTATCTATAAGTTAAATTATATTGCTTATTCATTTAATTAAAAGGGAAGGGGCCTCGTGGAGAAATGAGTGTAATTCCTAAGAGTGCAAGTTTGTTGACCACCTGGATTTCCTTAATTCCAAAGAGTCCAGGTTTGTTGACCACCTGGATTTCCTAACCATTGCTAAGCTTTCTGTTATCAGGAGGAGGCCTCAGAGTAGGCACACAATTATTGTTTGATTCAGTTTTTCAATAAATATTTTGAAAGGGCAACCCTTTAGGCATTGTCTGGGTGACTCACCATGGGACTAAAGACCTGAAAACTATGGGAGGGGGTTCAGATGGGCTCTGGAACTGTTCTTTTCTTTTTTCTTTGTCTAAACGAATATCTTTGTTGCCGTCCCTGCATGCTCCTGTGGAGTGAAAACGCAGGGATTTCCTCTAAGGTGTTCCTGACTCCTTTACAAAAGAGAGAGAAACTCTTTTGTTGCAAACCTCTTTGCATATTGTAGAGTCTGGGATGAAATATTTGTTCTATTTAAATAATTGCTCCCCCTACTTACTTTGTTCACATAGAAGTTAAATTTGTAAGAACAAGGGGTAGTGTTGTTTAAACTTAAACAAGGGAGGTGTAGGTTAGATGTAAAGAAGAAATTCTTTACTGTGAGAGTGGTGAGACACCGGAACAGGTTGCCCAAGGACTTTGTGAATGCTCCATCCCTGGCAGTGTTCAAGGCCAGATTGGACAGGACCTTGAGCAACCTGGTCTAGTGGGATGTGCCCAGGTTGGAACAAGATGATCTTAAGGTTCCTTCCAGCCCAAACTGTTCTATGATTCTGTAATTTACTGAAAGTGGAAATACAAAGAACTGCATACAACAGCTTACACAGCTGATAACCCTCAAGGGACAGTCAGGATTTTGGGTTGTAGCTTGGACTTCAGTGAATTTATGCATACTCCTGTTTTTATTTAGACTGTTAAGGTCTTCTACGTATATAATACTTATTCACAAACATTTTAATGTGTTTAGGAAAACTTGCTAAAATGCTGTTGATTTTTAGGTTGCCCGGTGCTGCCAAGCTACAGAAATACAGTTAACTGGCTTTTCAGAGACAACCCCGTTGAGGAAGTTAAGACCTTGGAATACCGAACCCTTGTTGGGGGTCGTATCCTAGAGGTGAACACCAGCTCTGGTCAATTTGCTGGACAATTCCAGTGTTGGACTTCAGCTAGTGCAAAACTAATGTCAGTCTGGGTAAATGTCAAGAAGGAAGGTTTGTTGAAAATTATATGACAAATTCTTAAATTTTAAAATATTTTCTTTCACTGTGTAAAGACTTTCCTGAAACCTAACCTGCTTTTATACATAGAAAGTAATTCATAAATTAGTGTTTAACATCACATGTGAATAGTCCCATTTAAGTCATTAGACAACGTTCATACTCAGAGTTGTATATGCGGATTAATGTGTACCCAGCTATCATGTGGAGGTTCTCATTTCATACCTGTGTAGCTAAGAAGTTTAGAGAATGTTGCCTGATTCAGTGTCTTGCTGCTTAAACAGTTTTAAATTGGGCAGGTTTTCTCAGCTTCCCCTTCAATAAATCATACAAATTGCTTCCAGGATAGCACACCAAACTGAAACAAAGCTGACTTTGAGGTTGTGTTTGAAAATATCTTCATTATAATGACAATAATTTTAATAATTGTCATATTACAGCATCATGACAATGATACAGCCATCTTAGTGTAGTCACCCTTAAACATATCAGTGTACTAGGGCACACTGCACGCTCTTCAGCTCAATGTTAAGTTTTCAAGAGTGTTTTGTAATGTTCTCCAATGTAATGCACTTGCACAAAACGACCTTTCTATTAGTAGGTTATAAAATGTGCAACTGAGAATTATAGATGAATTTGACAAGGATTTTACATGTGCATTGGCAGGACAATACAGCAGGCAGTATCTGCAAACATTTTATAAGTTTTATATATTTAAAGTGCTTCAGAAATGAGTTACATTTTAATTATTTTTTTAAAAAGACAGTTAGAAACTTAGACCCTATTAAAGTCTGGCAGCAAAGCACCAAACTCCATATGACAGTTAAAAATACCTCAAACCTCTTACCAGTCAATACCTGGGGGACGTAAATGAGGTTTAAAAGCAAGTATCTCTTGAAATTGAAAGTTTTGGTATGTGTTTTAGCTATTAACATATCAATATGGTTTGGCTAACTGTTTGTGCAAAGGAGCCTAACAGTTAAGATCACATCTTAAAAGTTCCCTGCGCTGTGTCTAAGTGTATTCTCAGTGACTGTCAGTGCTTTACTTCTGTGGGTGAGAATGGTTCTGGTAGGTATGGGGATGTTGAGTCAGTTACGTTTACAAAGTGATTTTACTGAAACGTATCCGTGATCAAAATATTTAGTTTTAAAACAAAAGTAAATCAAAACAGTAATGAACTGAATGAGAAAATATCTTAATAGAGGTTCAGCAAACCCTGGTCCTAATGCGTATCTCATTAAAGTTAAAATTTCTGAACAGGTCCAGCCACGTGTTAAACTATCCACCTGTAGTCTTTAGCTGGGCTGCCTTTTGGTTGCCCAATACCCTTTCCAGTCAGGCTGGTCAGAATTTGGGGGCAATATCATTTTCTAATCATGAGCTTTAACGATGCTTATGTAAACATTTCATTACTAAAATACCCATGCATTTGTAAGACTGCAAAATCTCCTCTGGTGTTTTTTGCACAGTAGGCATATTGAGGGCACTTCTGAGCAGTATCATCCTAGTTAAACAAACAATACAGTCTCTCCATCATACTTTCAGTCAGTAAATTTAACTATTTCCACTTTGAAAAAGGCCCTTTTGTATTATTTTAAGAAACCCAGAAGTAATAAGGAAACATTGAAAAACAATAAGTTAAAGAATTCATTATGTGCTGGAAGAGTGAGCCTGTGGACACAGCTGGTAGCTATCAATTATTCTTGGTTATTACAGAAAAATCTGACTCCTTCTGTGATCACATAAAAATCTGTCAACATTGCACAGTACTTCATCTTTTACCAAGTGTCAAAAAAAAACCTGTAGGGCAAGGGGAAGTGTGGAATTGTGACTAAATAGAAAGGTAGTAATTGTTAGAGGTGATCGGTTTTTAATATAAAATGCTCTTTAAAACAAATTCCTTTTTCATCTTGCCAGTGCCTCAGTGGCAAATTATTTATGCATTAAATACTTTTCTATAGTTTAGCACAGGATTCCTTTAAATCCTGAAATTATGTGAAGTGTCTGGAGTAAGATGAGTTTTCTTCAGAATAAACTCACTGTAGAACAGCAGGAAACCCGGAGAGCCTGATTTACAGTTTCCTCTTTTTAATGCTCATTGTAGAAAAATGTTATGAAAGTTTTAAAAGAAGTTCATTAGTTCCTACTGTGAGCTAGGTTCTGCCCTTCGTGTGCACATATGCTGATCCCATTTGCCTTCTAGAGAACTCTGTGCTCATATGTAAGGGCTGAACTTGAGGGGAAGCTGAGTAGGATGAAATTCTACTTGGGCTTATGGTCCCTTGTCACAATGCTGAAATATTTGCTGTTCCACAGTCGATGCGGTGTCTATCTAGCTTAAAGAATATGCTGCCAAATCAATTGAAATGCGACACAGTTACAATGTATAGTGCCTCTCTCATGCTATTTTCAATTGCATTTCTTAGATTATAAATGGGAATATACTGAGTGGAGTACTTGCTCTACTAGCTGTGGGAACACAGGAACCCGCTCCAGAAGGCTACAGTGCATGAACGCAGAGAAACAGAATGTAAATGAATCATTATGCAGAGAGCTGCAAAAGCCAGTGATTACTTACGAGTCATGCAACACAGATGACTGCCCTGCCAGGTAAAATCCTTTCTACTCTTATTTCCATGTGCTCTATGTGTACTGAATGTTTCTGTGCTTGTACTCTGAGATTGAAATGGGCGTTTTGGTTCATCATGAACGCTGAAGCATAAGGGTTGTGAAAACAGATCACTAGCAAGTTAGGGAAGCACTTGATTCAGCAGGATAAATGAGATCTCTGCAAGTCTCCATGCTGCCGCAGCAAGTCCTGCTGCTGCCACACTTCAGAAGCTAAGCTGGAGGTCCCTCCGCGGCACTGATGTGCTAGCTTTGTGGAATCTGTGCCAACACACAGAGAGAAAACTTGTCATGTGTAGAGCAGCCAGGATACTCTGTGTTCACCTCCTCTCCTTCCATGCCAGCAGAGCTCTGAGTAAGATGTTTGCTGGGGAATGCCTCATTTGTCTCTAATGCCCCTCACCGCAGTGTCGCGTTCCATGCATTTCCTTCCCTTGCCAATTTTCTCACTGGACCAACAGGGATATCTTGTGATCTTGGTGCAAAAATCTTTATATCACAGGCAAGTATACCACAACATCTGATTCCAAAAGCCAAAACCTTACCTCTAGACTTCCTGAATTGCACTGAGCATTCCAGCTCAGCAAGGCTCTAGGTTTGTAGCAGGAAATCCCACAGGAGTCCTCAAAACAAGTGCTTTCTGATGCTTAAAAGAATTGGCCATCACTGTCAGCAGCATAAAAATCCATGAGGGCTGAAAAGTCATGCACACGTTTTGGAGTTGTCCCTCACTGGAAAATTTTTGGAGAGAAGTGTTAAGACCTTAACTGACATTGTGGGAGAGCATCCTGCCAGTATGTTCTAAACCGTGTTCTAAATACAGAAAACATAGCAACAGATAAATCGCAAGAGAAATTTGTTTATATTTCATTATTAGCAACCAAAAATGCAGATCATCTGAAATTGGGAGTCTGAACTCCAGCCAGCCCATAACAAGCAAACTTTTTGCCAGTGGAAAAATACTGAAATAGAGCAAGTATTTTGAAATACACAGACTCAGTTGCAGGTTCCCTCTTAAAATCCAGCCATTCAGAGCAGAAGACAGAGACTTGGGAGGATACAAGAGTACTCTCTTGTGCAAGGCCATGCCTTTTCAGTGGACTGCAGTACATGATTTAACAATCTGATTATCGCTGGACCCAGAGTATTCACCACCAACACCCATCAGTTATTTCATAAACAGCCTGGGACCTAAATTCCCTGTTATTAAAATGCTTAGACCTATGTTGGTTTTAATTTGGCTTTACGCATTCACCAGTGGAAGGGAATTGTGTGCATACTCACATACTTAACACTACCTTGAATTATATATAAATGCTAACATATGAATTATTTTTATGAAGTATTCCACACTTCCTGTATGGGAAAAGCATCCCAGATGCCTGGAAAATAGCCCTGTGTCTGGTTCCTAATGCCTCTAACCTCCCCCTCGTCCTTGTGATTACTGACCTGGGAGGGAAGTACAAAACGTTCAGACTTCCCCTTCCATTTCCCCACTTACTGATTCCTGCAGGATCTCCTCATCCCAGGGCAACTGTTTGGAAAATATCCATAGAACTGTAAAGTCTTTAGATGTACAGTCAGTGGCATAAGCCCTTGTTATTCAAAGCGTTTTGTGTATGTTTAATTGCTTCTCTCCAGCACAGCATCGAAGTGCAGTTAAGCAAATATAAGGGTTTAAGCATATGCTTAAGTTGTGCTTTAAGTGTTTGCCAAATTTGGGCCTTGCTGACTTGCTGTGGTGCACTGCACCAAATGTTTGTGAAAGTACTTTGAAAGGGGAGAAAAAGGACAAGACTGTAAAAGATTAATCTGCCTTTAATGGATATAAGCTGTTTGACTGTAAGAAAATAAAAGAATTGCTAAAGAAAATAGAGTATTTTTCCTATTATCACACTTGTGCTATACATGAAGTTCCATTCCGTATTCCTAGCTTAGATTTATGAAAAGATCAAGTCAAATAAATCAAATAAATTGTATTACCACTTGCTGCTTCCCCAGTATTGTTCCTAGCTGCTAAGACAGACCAGTCTTTGCAACTTCTAATAAATAAATAACATGTTCTGCTTGAGCCATTATCTAGCAAGATCTTGATGTAATAAATTTGCATGAGTTATGACACTTGTCATCTTAGCCGTAACTACATCAGGTACCATTCACTTTATAAGTTAGGGGAAAGTATGCTGTCCTTCTTTCAGAAATGTTAAATCCAGTGGGGTCTACAGGGCTTACCTACGACAACCTGTTGAGTACAAGCAGTCTGACTTCTGTTGCGATGACAGGTTCTCTTGGTTTTTATTTGCAAACAGATCCCTGCAAACTACCAGGATGTTTGCAATGCTTTCATGGCTGCTGTAAATTTGTCTCTGCATCCTGTAGGTGGATAACTAGTCCATGGTCTGAGTGCTCTGCATCGTGTGGCAGTGGATTTCACTATCGACAAATAACTTGTCAACAAGTGAAAGCTAATGGCAGTGTGCTGACAGTGCTGCCGGAGGCTTGCATACATGGAGATCGTCCCATGGGAAGGAAACCCTGTCTGGGTCCCTTGTGTGCAGTGGGGACAATGCAGACAAAAGGAGAGGTATGTTACAGAGTCTGTGTGGAAACTCCTTAGACCTTAAAAGTGTGTCAGGGTTGTCATGCCACTGGCTGAACACCTATTCTCTTTGAGCCCTGTTGCTTAAAGGAAGAGTTGTGTGGCACTAGCTGAAATTGCCTTTCAGACCCATGAATTGCAAATCCTTTTTTTTTTTTCAATAATTTGTGATGTGTGAGCTAGTTTTATCATGTTTGAAGACATGATCCAAAACCTAAGGATTAGTTTCAGTATATACTTTATAAGCTAATCCATTACTATGCATTCCATTTTTAAGCTAGTATATTGCTTTCATTGCAGTGTTCTAAGAACAGTTTGCATAGCTGTACTTTTGAAGTCACCAAAGATAGATATATGAATGTGCTTCAACAGCAGTTGTAAGTGTTTAATACACAGAACTCTGCTTTCTTATGTTTTCTGTTTTTTCATTTGTGCCATAAACTTGTGTCCATATTGATATGATTTTTATGATTATTAACAGAGCCATTACTATTCAATGAGCAGAGAAGTGAATTAAGAGGATTACTGTTGCTGTATTCCTGATACAGGCATTAGCAAGAAAGTTTGTGATTGTCAGAGCTACAGATAAGGTGCTGCAGCTCTAGCAATGGAAAATGCTGAGAACACAGGTAATTGATTTAGCTTTATGAACAGGTAGTGAGCAGGCAGCAAAGTCGGTATCTTGGCAAAATTACACAGAAACCTTATCCGAGCAGAGGTGAATGCTTGAAGGAGAAATGCAGATCAAGAATTATGACAGGGTAACTGCCTAGAAGGGTATTTCTGTTATTATTAACTTATTTGTTTCTTTTTCTCCCCCCTCATTCTTTTCTCTCACTTTCTAGTGTTCTGGTCGCTGCATAGGCCGCCCTGTAGGCTTACACCATCGTCACATTATATGTCAACTTCGTAATGGATCCTTGGTGTCAAACTATTCTTGCGATGAAAGAAAGAGGTATGCAGTTTGAAGCAGTTACAAGTTAGATTCTTTAGATGATCTTATTAAAGATACAGGGCAATGAAGAGCAGGGAATAAATGGGTAACAAGTGCATACATGGGAATTGTTATCGTGTTTCTAGATTACTGAGCCCAGCTCTTCACAGTTCTTTGCTGTAGAAATGCTTCTGAATTGTGAGCATGTCAAAGCACTTTCACTCCACACACAATGAAATTTTGGCTCCGCTGAAGTATGCCGTGAAACTTCCATGTACTACTGAGAGCCAGGATTCCACTTTGGCAGCTTCAAAAGTTTGAGGAGGTTCAGTGTCAGCGTAGAAACATTACTTGTGTTCAGGAGAGAGGCTATGCATGAAGAGCATGCAACATTTCAGGGTCAGTTAAGTATTCCTCAAGACATTTCTTCTGTTCCACTATTAATGAATTGGTTTGAAGATACAAGGCATTGTCATTTGTTTCCTCATGAGCGAGGCATGCTAAATGAACACAAATGAAATACAGGAAGTTCAACATAAATATAAGAAAAATCTTTTTCCTCTGAGGACTCTCAAGCACTGGAATAGATTACCCAGAAAGGCTGTGGAGTCTCCATCCTTAGAGATATTCAAAACACAAATCAGCCTCCAAAAAGTCCCTTCCAACATCAGCTCTATCATTCTGCAAATAATGGTATAGCACGAAAGCAAACATTTCACTGCCATTTATTTTCCTTCACAGGTCTCCTGTCAGAAGAAACTGCTCTTCAGAGGCATGTGATGTCTACTGGCGGACAGGCCCTTGGAGGCCTTGCAGTGTGGACTGTGGGAGTGGATTTCAGTCAAGACGAGTGTATTGTGTACACAGAAAGAATAACAAACTTGTGGCTGATCAGTACTGTGGATGGAGGAAGAGACCAGTGACCTGGCAACACTGCAATGGCACAGCCTGCAGCAGTGTGTAAATGTTTATTTATATATGAGCATAGTAATAGTTTGTAGCAGTTATATTAGAAAGTGACTCACAGTTGTACGCTAATGATTCTGCAAGCATTTGATTGTACATCAAAGGTAAAACTATCCTCTCCAAGGAGTACTTCACAGTCCTGGGGTTATTTTTCTCTGAGTAGGCCAGTTTGATATTAAAGCCTCAAAAGCACTTTTAGAAACAGGATATTTAGGAAGTTGTTTTATGCAAACTTCCCTACATGACTGCGCCAGTTGTGACTCATGAGTCTCTGGGCAAGCTGTTAATTCCTGAAAGATGGGGTAGTTTTATGAAACAGAAAATAGGTAAATGGATGCAGTGAGATCACACCTCTTATTTGTGACCTAGCTCAGCTTGGAGTCCACTGCTGCCAGAAATGCAAAGTAAAATAACTGCAAAGCTACCAAGGAATCCACCAGTTGTTTACAATTACAACAAAAAGTTCATTACAAAGCCTTTTAATGTTTAAATATATTTTTTTCAGAAGGCAAATGCAAGGATACAACTCCCTACTGTACATTTGTAAAGCAACTAAAGTTATGCTTGATAGACACCTACAAACAAAGATGTTGTCAGTCACATCACGAAATATAACTCTTCTGTGGGAAGTTCATAATGCTGCAGTGAAGAGTGAGAAGAGAGGTTCATTAAACTAGCCTGCTCAAAGTATACACTTGCAAATAAGACATTAGTCATAACAGTAAATGGAAACGGGGGGCTAATGAAAAACCAGTATTGCAGATTGGTATGCTGGACAGAGCAATTTTTCTGGAAACTTTTATTATCCACTCTCTGCAATGGAACTTTTAATGTTTTAAAGATCTTCGTGTCTGGATTAGGAATATAACATCATGACATACCATCTGTAAAAATTTTACATTTCAATTTCGTCAGGGGAAATAGCACTATCTAAAAGCACCAGATAGTGCTGACTGTCCTTAACTTATGAGAAAAGCAAAGCCATAAAATCCTCTGAAGAATTCTGGAATGCAGCAACTGTTGACCCCTAGGTTTTGTTTTCATTGTTTTATCAAATTTAACACAATTTTTAAATTTATAGAAGCTGTGGCCTGTAGCTGTAAAGTATTTGGCAACAACTTTATTTTCATAAACAGCTTGAGCTTAAGGGTTGCTCTCACAGGATATGTTTTACTGATATTAGCTGTCGGGTGGAGTACAGAAGTACATTCAATTTTTTGTGCTTGTAGTTATGTGTATGCAGTAAAAGACATTGTAGATGCTAGTACAATTTTCAAAACAGTAATAGATCTGTTTTGAATAAATGGGGTGTCATCTTCCATTGTTTCTGTTCTTCTGCTCCGGCCATTGAAGTACAGTTGAAGTTCTGGCATGACTGGACTTTTGTACTGATTTTAAACTAGACACACGGCTTCCTTGTCAGAGCTGTGAATGAAACATTTGTGAGCGCTGTTCTCTTCCATATCAAGTCGAATGGGGAGCCACTAACTGGCCAAAACGGCTGTCACATTTTCTGCCTTGAATAAGTTGGGTTTTTCCCCCCATTAATGTCCAAGAAACAATCATTAATTATGAAGATAGACAAGTGCAAGAAAACTATTTTGAGCAGTTTCCATCAATATGACTTTTCATCATGACCATAAACTATGAGTCTTTTTAATAAATTCTGATTATGATATTCCCAGGTAAATTATTTTCCACATAGCAGAGTGTCTCATTAGGGCTGCAAGCAGGGAGAACCCCCTAAGAGGCAGCAGATAGATGTGGTTTTTTGTAGTTTCCAAACTACTGCACATACTGGAGGTCTGAATGTTTGTATTGACTTGGATCTACATTACACACTAATCAGCGGGCATGCTGTAGGAACAGTGTTAGAAACAGCATTCCTGCACAATGGGTTTGCATCACTGAAAATTAGATTAGCACTACTGTATAGAAAACGTTTAGTGTGGACTATTGTGTTGGAGGCTGACTGCAAGGAGAGGATATTCCTGATCAGTACCTTTTTAATCAGCGATGGGTCTTGATTGTTTAAGCAGTTTCTTAAATTAAAAGAAAACATTTGTAAGATACTTTTGTAGATATTTATTGTCTGATTTTAAAAGTGCAATATTTTTTGTACAGTGTTTAATAAAGATTTTTGGACATATATTTTTTCTTATTACCAAAATTTCTTATTCATGTTTTTGCATATATTTAAAGTCTTCAAATGTTAACAAATAGCTTTTTTTTTGTTGCTTTAACTCTATCTTTGGTTAAGTATGCATGCTATACAGAAGCAGTGCTGTAAATGTTTGTTATTGCAATTGGCATGACACTCCTCTGTAGATTTATTTTATTGCTTCTCCAATAACTGAAGATTTTACTTTCTTGAACGTAGTTTTGATATTTCTGAAATAAAGTCTAGTTTGATTATTCAACACTGATTACTGAGAGATGGTTTGTTACTGTGGTTTTCATGGTAGCTATGTTTTCATTCCAAGTGTTATTTTATCAACTGCTATGTGCATAATTCTGAGGTTTTACCAAAGCTAAGATTACTTCTTATTTTTGACAGCTTATCAGACAGCTTTTCAGCTTCATTACAGTCTGCTTTGCATTGCTATTAAGAGGCATCATAGATGTAACCTGACTGAAAAAGTGGGGAAGAGAATTTGCCAAAATCCAAATAAATCAGAACTGACTCACTGAAATCTAGAATCAGGATTCTCTAAAAAGGTGGAATAAAGTTACAATTCTTTGCTGCCTGCAATGTACTGCACCAAGCAGAGTTCATTTAGATCCAACAGAACAGCTATATGTTTTAAATCTAGTGGGTGATGGGAATAGCCAAGGCAAAAAAATCTTGTTTCAGAATTTCCAATATGTGTAATAGTATTTAGAAAGAAGAGTCTCATAAATAATATGAACAAGAAAAGCCTTCAAAAATTTATTAAATTGAAAATAAATGTCTAGCGATAAAATGGTGGTGTTTCAGTTACCCTAAATAGTAACACTGAAAAAGTGCATGGATCTATTTAGTTCTCCTTTTGTGTCATCAGTGGATTCTTTCTGTGCAGTCTGTATAGCAGTACTGTGGAGCATGCTGTACATCGTACTGCCCGAAAAGCACTTTCAGAATACCAATTGAATCCATGAGTAACTTTTCTGCTTATACATCTTGGTTTAGCATGACATCATAAAATGCTTTTTAACAGCTGTTATTTTGAGAAATATTAATTTTCCAGCCTGCTGTTCATTTTGTCTGCTTTTCAATAACATGTTGCTTATGAAAAAGTTGAGCTCAAGTATTGGATACCATCTGAAGGTTTATAATATCATTTGATGTTTTTGCTGGAAGCACAATCAGTAGGTTGTGGCTCTTTCAACTGTAATGTAATAAAGGCTTCTCTCTTTCAGTATTACACTGGGGGGGGAAACATTACAGGTGAAATGAAAGGGAATATGTCCCCTCCACCCTAAAAAAGTCTTCAAACACATCTGCAGAGGAACTATTAAATGTATCTGAATATGCCCTCTACTTCCTCCCAAAAGTTTTTGTACTGTGCTGGTAGGTGGCACCCAATGACTTTCCATAACTTAAGGGGAGGGGAAGTGACTTAAGAACTAAATCAACATCTGTGAAAATTACAAAAATCATGTGGGTTCACTCGCAGACCCAGAGGAGTGATTTTCAGCAGAACATGCACACATAACTTCATGGATTCAGGTTGCATTTCTCAATGAGGTTTTTTTCTTCCCTAGAAAAGAGACCTTTCAGGATCTGGGGAAGGATATTCTGTAAACTTCTCATGAGCTACCAAGACCGTGTATAGGATACAGACTTCGGTAGGTGCAACTATGCATAGTTTTGACTTTGTTTTCCCAGTTGTGGCTAGAGGGAGAATGGCCCGAGTTTCATCAAGAAAAGGGTGTTTGTAGTTTGTTTTCTTCTGTGGTTTAGAAGGATGACAATGAATTGTACTTTTTCCTGTCCTGCTTCTAGGTTATCACAGCTTTACATTGCCCTTGTTCATTCTCAATCCAAAATGTCTTTACCAGCTGGGGACATTAATCTTCAGAGAGAAAATGTTAATTGAGTTGTTGTTTCTTTAACAGAGTCATATTATAAAAACACAGGACAAAGGCAAACATTACACAAAAGTAACTCATGCTTTAATAATGTCTGGAGCTCTCTCATACAACACATTTATGCACAGCTAATATACTCAGTTCAGCTTTCTTCCTTGCATAGGATCCAGTTCCTGCTTACAATATGTATCCATCATCCATCTTAGTCCTTTTATTGGTGATTTGGTTATGAAGTAGGAGCACATAATTCTTTAGAACCCAAATGACTGCCCTATAGCAGTGCGTACAAGATCTGCAATACTGAAAAAAATCATACTGAAATAACTGTGATAGAACATGATAGTGTTAATCATAGAGTTATTGGGTCTTGCTTAAATCATGAGCATAATAGGACTGAAATTAAGTTCATTTAGATTTCGCCAAGTCAGGTAAAGATACATAGAGAAAATACTAAATATCTCATACAGAAGCATAATCACTGCATGTACGACTTCTGGAAAACATTTGTTTCCTGTGTTTTTTAATAAGTAATGCTTTGAAGAGCAGACAGGCTCAAGCCAGGCTGTCTACAGATTCCTGCATCTTGGCTGGTATTTTTTTGTTTTTAACTTAGTTTACACTGTTTTCTGTTATCTCTGCATACACCTTTATAGTTTTCTGCCATTTTCCCTATCAAACTGACTCTGCTGTGAACTCAGGCAGTGGTAACAGGCTGCTTGGCTTTAAAAATCAGATAGCAGGAAGATGTTAACATTTTGAGCTTGATTCTTTCTGCTTCCTCACCATTTACCATAAAAACGTGAAAAACAATCACCTTTGAAATCTGTTTGTAAAATTTTATGAATTTGAAAACTGGGTTTAAAAATTACTCAGGTCGAAGGTCATAGTGTGTCCAAAGCTATGTTTCCTTTGGGAGTGAGGCTGAAAACTCATGGTCAGGAAAATCAGGAAACAGAGTCTAATGATCTGCTTTTTATGTCTGGGTGATCTCAGGTATGTGTACGGGAGCAGAGAAAGGATACTTCATATTAATTGCTGTTAGAAATTAGAAATCTGTACCGTCTTCAGAACTGAATGAAGGAAAAATAATGACGACAAATGCTAAACCCGGGCTTTCAGGAATTCTGAGGTCTGATGGGATGCTATCTTATGATTTGGGCAGCAAAGTGTAAAGAAAAAATATCTTCTTATCAGATTACTCAAAGTATTGAGATGAAAAACTGGACTGATGCTAATTATTTAGATAACAGCATTATTTGCTGACTATGAAAAGAAGTTATGATCACAAGATACTTGCTATTTCCTAAATACAATTTTGATTTGTGGAAAATCTGAAAGAATTAAATGTACAATACCTATGCTTGAGATGGAGAGTAATAAAATTTGGGAAGGCAAGGAAACTCGAATGCGTGATCAGAAAAAGAATATATTCTGTATAAGGTGCATTATTCCTATAAAATTTGGCAAATTTCTATTATTCTTGTAATAAACTTCTGGTTTTGCTTTCATTTCCTTCAAGCTATTAGTTTAAATAATTTTAAAAGCAAAATTTGCATTGTTTGCTTTCAGTGTTATTTTAAAGAAAAAAATGAGTAGAGCTTCAATTCTTTAAACAGGGTGCTTGAAATACTGCAGTTCAGTATTACGACACAACAGCTATTTCCTTTGGAATAGGATTACTATCTGACTTGGAAAATTCTGGAGTACACTGGCGAAAGAATTTGTGACCATGAGAATCTGTGTTTACATAGACATAACCTGGAGGAGATGGATAATTTCCTGGGCAGATCTCTGGTTTCTTTGGAGTATATTCTGTGTGATACATAGTTTCATCTTGAAAAGGACCTGAATTAAGAGCTATAGCATGTACAGGTTTGAAACTTTGTACTGGAGTGATCTGATGTGGTATGTAATGAGATTTGAATGTAGTTCGATCATAAAATTTTCCCATGGGTTTTTGAATTTCCTGTTGTTTCTTAATAATCTCTTGCCGACAGGTACCCCATGCTTTAAAATCTTCTTTCGTAGTAGTACTCCCTTGAAAAGGGGCATTGGTTCTTCTTCTATTAGAAGCTGGTCTTATGGGGAAAGCAGGAGAAATTTCATGCTTAATGTAATCAAGACGGCTTGTGGAGTTAAAATCGATGCTGCCTGGGGGTGGAACATACTCTCTGGTTTTGCGGACCTCAGGTAAGGAGACCAGCCACGGCTGAAAACGATCCTGGAATTCAGTGATTCCATTAAAACGAGCATTGGAGCCAACTTTTGCAATTTCAGGCTTGCAGCTTTTTGTGAGTTCCCCAGGTAGTCCTTTAAAATCATTCCGGTGGGTTGTGAGATCTACAAAGGGTTGGTTGCTTGGCTTGTACTCTTCTTTTGGTCTTATGAATTTTGGTTCCAGTTGATGAGCAATATAAGAAGTGCGATGGCTGGTAGCACCATTGAAAGGCACATCTGAAAGCTTGGCTACACAAGGAGGTTTAAAACTTTGTCTGGGATTCAATTCCCTAGGAACAAAGTCATCTTGAAATGTAGTAGAATTTCCAAACTTCTCTGTAGGTGGGTGGTATATACATACCGCTTTAGTAGCTTCCCTTCTTTGAACTTCCCATGACCTGTAGTCATCTTTAAAGCAAAACCAAAACTTCACCATACAAGTGCAATTACTTAAGACCATTCCTCTAAAATTAAGCCAAATTATTCTGGTATGAAATCTTGCAAAACAAATACAATGGAGGTAAGTGAGAATAGAATGTTTTCTGCGTGTTTGTGATATGACAAAACTGTCTTCTATTATTGGTGTGATAAAAAAAGACAAAAAAATGTACATGATGTCCTATTTTGACTATATCCTCAAGGAAAATGTTGCATGTACGTATTTAGTGTGTATAGAAAATAGCCTACTTGTGTGTAGGCTAAATAGAGTAAATTTCCTTATAAATTATTTTCAATTAGTAAATATAACTAGAATGTATTTATACAAATGCATTTCTATCTAGCATAAGCTTAAGCTTAAAGGAACTAGTGAAATATAACTGTTTTTTTTTAAGAGTCTTTTCGCCAAGTTTTACCCTTCCAACTCTTTCTGTCTCTCTACTCCGTCCTCTGCTCACTTTGCACGAAGTATTCAATCTTTCTGTTTTAATAGCCATATTTGATTCTTATTATTTCAACTAGTTTGGCACTTTAACTACAACCAACTTTTGCCTGAGGTAATCTAACCAAGCATAAGTTAGCGTTTCTCTCCTTTTAGCCAAGAAAACCTTAGCAAAGGCTTTTTGTAGAACCAGTAAACATCACCTCTAGAGTGCTGATCATTTTGAGGCCTTCTCACCTGCTTTCTATGATGTCTTACTCTCTGGCCCAAACTAAAAAAATCCAGTTTCTGATATAGGTAATTCAGAATACTACCTTCATTTTGTTTTTTTCTCCTGTAGGTGGCATATATTATTACCTTGATAGGTTGGTATGGTATCCAGTTTTCCTCCTGTAGTGTGTTTCCTCTCTAGAGGTCTTACTAATGTCACTGGTTCTATTTTATGAGCATTGTAATCTTTCTGGTATGTGGTTCCCAGTTCTATCTCTCCTGTCTTTGGTTTATATTCTTCTTGTACCTGAAAATGTCGCTTCACAATATTGTATGGTAAATAATCAGATCTGAAATGGGGAAAAAGAGAAACACTGGTTAAAAAACTTTTTTTTTTTTTCTGATGGAGGCACTTTTGTCAATTTTTTCATTATATGGAAAAAATGAGAACTTATAATGTTTACTCTGAAAAATCAATCTGAAGCCATATGTTAGAGGGATAGCAAGGAGGAAAGAAAACCATAGCACATAAAATTTGGGTACATTACATTAAAAGTGTATGCAGTACACAGCCAATCTTGCAGAATGCATTTGGCCATTTTAATAATTACATGAAGTTTCACCTCTTGTCCTTGTAGCTGAAAGGAAAAAAAAAATGTATTAAAAGTAAAAAGGTTTGTGCTCCTGTCACATTATTGAAAAGGAATGAGTGATGTCTTTTTCCTAACTGCTTGAAAGATGCTCTTTAATTTTGTAAGCTTAATATCAGTTTGTACACTGACAGGAGAGACCTACTGAACCGCTTTAGAGATGGTTTTCTTCAAACATCTAATAATTTAGAAGTGTTTGAACCAAATAAAAAGAAAAAAAATCTCTGATCTTTTTACTTAAGGTTTAATTTCCTCCCAGTCTCAGATTCCACACATGCATTACAGAAAGTTCCCCAGCTTGCCAGCTTGTTCATGCTAGACGAGATCTGGATTTCCAAAGCAGGCTGAAAACATGAATAAAAATTTTTGGTTATCTTTATAGGTGACAGGATTCTCTAAAACATGGAAATCCTGTTGTATGAGTGCTTCATTTTTTTTCAGTGACCTTTTTGTGGTAACAGTATTTCTATACTCAAAATTTACACTTTTATATATGCTAAAGTGTAAAAGATGCAATGATTGCATTTTGAAAATGATTACAATACAATGTTCAGTCCCCCCTTAAAAAAAAAAAAGAAAAACTTTATGGAACAATTGTGAAACACATTGCTTCAAAAAGCTTACTTAAATGTTGTAATTCCTTCCATTTTCCCATGATGCACTTGGTACTCTTGTTTTGGCTTAAAGCTCCAGGGAGGAGAGATGTTGCTATACTTGGGATATTTTTCCACATACTCTGTTGTGAGGCATGGCTGTTGTCCATTATCATAAATCCTTGTGGGTTTATGAAGGCAACGATGGCGCCTGGGTAAAATACATCAGATGAGATAATTTTGAATAGTTTCGTTTAAGGGAAAAAAAACATACTCTATGGAGTGGGTAATGGATGTGGAAGATAGAACAATGTCAGTCGCTGTGCTTAAAATGGTTTCTGAGTGATAAAACCCCAAAATCCTGTGCTGATGGCATAGGTCCCAGAGCACAGTATACTTATGCAGTAATGAACAGCATCAGCATGCAAGTTAGTCCTTAATACAGAATATGAAGGATGGATACAGCTGATCTCAGGCCTCTAGATGATGCTACCACCAAGATGCACCTTCCTCTCTTTTTTTTAATCTTTAGTAATAGTGCTAGTCTTACATGTAAAAATAACTATGCTTCATTTATCCTCTCATATTGCCTCTTTTTGACTGTTTTCTCTCATTGCTTGTCTTTATTTCTGTGCCTCTGCTCACCTATTTTCACCACAACTCTTGATTAATGTTTTTTGATTAAAATTGTAGGGGTGTGAAATCTTCTCTGTGCTCCTAGAGCTCTGCAGCTCATTTCTGATTTTTCAACCCTTATTTTTTAATAAAAAGGGCTGACTAAATCCTCAATCCAAAATTATGTTTATAAATAACGACATCTGTTTTTCTTCGTAGGTTTTATTTCAATTGCACCTGCTTGACATTGCCTATTTTAATGACACCATTGTGTTAAAAGGTATTAAGAGATATATCATGACTTAATTTACTACTTATACCTGTCGTTTTGAGTAAATTTTGCGTGAAATTAAAATGTACCCATTATTTTCTATATTGCTGTGAAAACCTTGTTATTCTAATTTGCATAACACATCTCTAGCAGTTTGTTTCAAGCATAATTTTAAAATTTTATTTTGGCTGATGTGATTATTATTTAATCTCTCTTTTAAGGAGATATATCATGAAAAATGTTCCTCCTATTTGCAGCTGACAGCTTGCAATACTGGTTCAGATATAAGCAAAGGGATATAATAATAAATATATGTTTAAAATAAATGTATTTTCTAAAATTCAGTACATGAATATTAAAAATGAGAAGAAGGGCAAACCAGTGCAGCTCTTATTGGGTATGAATAAGTTCAAGTTTCAGGAAGCTAGTTGAAAGATCTGAAATTTTTCTCACAGTGAATACCAAAAATGAAAAAAACAATAATTTATAGCAAGATAAAATAGAATACAGAAACAGATGTGAAGGACTCCTGCTAGGAAAAGTAAAATGAAAAAAAAAAAACCCAACCCAAACCCAACCAACCAATCAAGAAAACACTGAAAGAAGTTATCTGGAACTGGAAATCCCTAGAGCTGGTATTAGTTTGGGCTGCCTGACTTTGCCAGCTCAGTAGTTCAACAGATGATAAATGAAGTAGCCCTGTATAAGAAGCCAGAACCTTTCAAAGCCTCAGGTGCTTACTGCTTTTCAATCAAGTCAACAGATAGTCAAGTAACAATTGAGACACCTATTCAGAACATACCAGGGAAAGGAAAATGGAAAGAACAGGAAGGGCAAGAAAACAAGGAGGTGAGTGTATGCTATTTCTCGGCACTTAAACAAAAACTTACTAAAACACCTAAACAAGCACTACTCAAAGTTTTTTATTTTTTGAACTCCCAGTTCACATGCTATGGTCTGAAAGACAGAAATTATGTATGGACACTGTATTTTTGAGATTCATCTACTTTCCTAGTAGGAAAGGCAGACCTGATAGTTTTTATTTGTCATGTGTATATTTATGTGTGGTCAGTATAAAGTTTTAAACATCCTGTATTTTAGAGAAATCTTCCTTTATTTTAACTGGCATTTATTCAGGAATCTAGACTTTTATAATAATATAATAAAAGTGCAATGAGTGGGGAAAGGCTGACACTGAGAAAGGGGGGGTTGTAACTTGATGATCTTAAGGTCCTTTCTAACCCTAACTGTTCTATGATTTTATGATTAGATCTTTGCTTTGAAACCTCTTCTACAATGCGTATGTGTGGCCATATCCAGGTGACACTGCCAAGCAACCAGTCATCCCTTAAAAACAGAAACACTGTAACTACAGTGAAGCAAACACCATGTGCTGCCTAAGCCAATAATAGGTTAAGATTTTATTGACTGTATGAACTTCAATTATGTTTACTTTAAACTGTAACTTTTGTGCATGTTTTATTCACTTATTTATATTGTTAATCTGGGTTTTTGAATTGAAAGTTTTTGGTTGAATTTAACCATGTTTTTTGTGCTGTCAGATTGTGCTCTCTCCATCTCTACACTTGAGGCTGATGCAGATTTGCTATCTCATTGTGAAAAAAATGTGTTCCAGTTCTTTGTTAATGTAGGATGTTTGAAACAAATTTATGGGACAAACTGCATCTATAGCCTTGGCCAAAAAGGACATTCTCAGCTTTACACACTGCCTGTCTTTTGCGCCTGCGTACAGATAAAAAACCCCATGATGAACAGATAGACAGACTTCTTGTGCAGAAGCACATAAGGGCCATGTCTGCCCTACAAATGTCAAAATGAAACTTGTAGTTCATGGTGCCACCTGCAGCCATAGGGTTGGCCCAGTACTTCACGCTCTTGTGATCTTATGGTGACTCTCGTATGTATGTAGTAGTTAGATTTTTTCTTTTAATATTAAAATATTAATATTAATATTAAAATATATATACTAAAAAATAAAAGATATAATTACTATTAAGAACTGAATCTTTGAATCCTAGGATGAGTATTTTTCAGCATTTTTATTTATTTTTTTGGTTTGGTCTGTTTGTTTTTTTCTTCGTCAGTTCATTTATTTCTTTAAATTTTTAACGTAGAAATATGAGAAATTGAAAATATTAACAGTACTGACTCCACACCTATGACCATCTATCTGACTTTTGCAAGGTTTAAATCACTTCTGATTTTGGGAAACCTGACTCTTGATTTTTTTTTTTACCTGTGTCATTGATGATAATGCTTATACCACCGTAACAGTGATTTATAAAGAAAATTGCCTGCTGTACCCTCTCACACCAGCCTTCCTGGGGCAGAGAGGCTACAGCAGGATGATGAGCTGTGTGTCTCCATATGTGATCATAGAACTTAAAGAAATAGTGGGGCTTTTCTTCCAAGTGGAGACTATTACTGGATGCGATATATTAAATATATTTTAATATATTGATATATTTTAAAGGCCAGAGTTCTTGCACAGGTTTCTGTCAAGGTTGATTTCTCCAGAAAACAAACAAACAAACTCTTTTGAGGGTTTTTCGGAGCTCCCAGTAAAGGTTAATTCTGCTTCATGGGGAAGCCCGATCCTGCGGTCTTGTCTAGTTGGCTTTGACAGACTTTAATGCTTTCCAGATCTGCTTTTTTTCCCTACCCTACTTAAGCACAAACCTGCTGCTTCACATTTACCGAGAAGGCTCCTTTAGGAAGAAACGGAACCCAGAAGCTGTTGAAACGGGAATGTTTCTGCCGTCCCGCCGCTAAGGACGCTATCCACGGCCCGGCACGGGAGTGGGGCGGGTGAGGGGGACGAGACAAGGGGGTACTTCTGTGGGGCCGTAGCGCTTCGGGAGTGACCCTTCGGGGGTGACCGGCTCCCAGGGACCCCGGCGTAGCTTACCCGCAGGTGCAGATCTCGCACAGACACCGCGGCCGCCCCATGCTGCCCGAGCCGCTCCGACCGGTAACCAGGGAAGCGCTGCGTTGCGCGGCAACAGCGGCGTCCCCGCCGTGCGCGGCCTCCGCCGGCTTCCGTCCGGCGTCACGCACGGGCGGGGCGGAGCGGAGCGGGATGCGCGCGGGCTTCCGGGTGCTGGCGGCGGAGCCCTTAGGGAGCGCGGGGGGAGCTCCCCCCGACACGCAGCGGTGAGGGGCCGCGGGGGGCGGGCGGCGCGGCCTCCCCCTTCCTCACCTCAGACCCTTAAGGCACTCGCGCCCGGTGCTGCTGGTGGAGGCGTGGGAACACCAGGGCAGCTCCGAGTCCCTCTCCTGGGCATCGGCCCCTGTGGTGGCTGCGCGCCGGTGAAGCGCGGGAGGGTGCGAGCAGCGCCGAGGGAGGCGGTGGCAGGGGTGCCGCTGTGTGGGAGGCGCGGACGGTTGTACGTGCCGGGGCAGCTTCGGGCGCACAGAGCCGCGGGGCTGTGCGAGCGTAGGAGATGAGAAACTGACCAGCGGCAACCTCCCGGTGCGCATTCAGAGCAAACGCGGCCCCAGCCCTGTCAGTTTCAGCTGTCCGGGCGGAGGGCACATGGTGGCCGAGCGGCGCGGCGTGACGCATCCTTGTGCCGGAGGTTTCACCCATGAGTAACAGCCGCAGTGGCGTAGCAGTTAAAATAAAAAGGCTGTTTCTTAACTTGTCTCCTAAGTAAAACACTTCCCTCCGTTCACAGTTAGGTAGCCATGGTCCTCACAAGTGTGGGAAAGATGGTTGGCCTCCAGAAGAACACTTCTGGAATCCGGAATATCTGTATACTGGCCCATGTGGATCATGGTAAGACGTGCTTGTGCTTGGCAGGAAGCACCTCGTGAGGAAAAGAGTGTGCGTGATGGTGGCGAGATGTTTGGGTCACTGGTTTAAAGCAACAGGTTTTCACAGCTTTAGCTTTAAACTGCCTTAATCGTCATCCTGAGAACTAAATTTGCTTTATGCCCATTTCTGTTGGCCTGTTGCAGCTTTTTAGAACTTAAGAGAGCATTACACTAATGATTCCGAGTAGTTGAAACTGAATGTTTTCTACTTCTGTGATGCTGAATGTTGGCATAAACAATATACATGGGTGTTATGTTTCCATGTTTATTTAAGGGAAGACGTTTGTTATGTAGGTGGAAATGTGTCTAATTGCATGATCTGTTAAGGTTCTGATGTACTTCTGTTGTTTGTTATTTCAACTGTTTTTCCAGTCATGTGAGGGTAAAGTTGACGTCCACTCTTCAAAAATAAGCTTGTGTGTACCTAACAGGTCAAGTTGAATAATCAGTTTCATTTTAAGTTGTACTTTTGTGGCATTTTGAAGCCTTTATTAATGTTGGTATCTTAGAACACAGGATGTTGTCACCATTCATAATATCATTGTATCCTTTTCCACTGTCTCTATTAATTTGAACTCTTTCTTTTCAGGCAAAACTACTCTGGCTGATTGTCTAATTTCTAGCAATGGAATAATCTCCAGCCGCTTGGCAGGCAAGGTAGTGTTTATACTGTCATTTATAACAAACTTCTGGTGTGTACATGCTGCAGTTGTGAATCAGAGATAATTAAGGAAATTCTCTTAGTCTTGCTCAACCTCATTTTCTCACAGTCGTACTTTTTGGCTTGTGAAGATAGTTCTACAGATTTATCATCTCTTCTTCTGTTTCTGTACTCAGCTGAGATACCTAGACAGTAGAGAAGATGAACAGATCCGAGGGATAACCATGAAATCTAGTGCAATTTCACTGCACTTTGTGAAAGGTAAGTTGTTGACGCTGGTGAGTATAAGCTTTAATACGTATTTTAGTTAATTTTCCCTCTCTTTTCTTTGGTTTTGTTGAGATCTTTTTGTATGGAACTTTTCCTTTTGTGTTTCTCAGTGCTAGGCTATGATGCTGCAAAGGCTTAGACATCTATTCATTCAACTGTTAGCTAAGAAAAGTTCTGTCTCAGGATTACAGGCACCATCTTCAATCATATCTCTGAGTGGAGGCTATATGAATAGTTGCCTTTATCTTTTTATTTTAGATCTTAATATCATATTTTGATCTTAAATCTTGAACTAACGTTGCTTGAAGGCAAGACCTTCTTTTAAAACCCAACAAATTTAAGGTGATTTTGTAGTTTAGTATACCTCTGTGGCAAGGTGCCTGTTACACTGCTATAAATTGTTCAGAGGTTTTCTTTTATAGTGTAGTTACAGTGTCATCTTTTTTATGACTCCATATTCCTCACTAGTCTTATTCTCAGCTAAGCAAAGGGAAACCTTGGAATACATTACTAATAGGCTTGTGCAGGAAAAAGAATAGCTGTTTGCATGAACAGAAAAGCCACTGTTAGTCATTCCATTTCATCTACAGCTGATTATAAAAAATAGTTGAAATCAACAATCTTCCAGCTTACTATTGTAAACTGGCTGTTTTATTGTTGACTCTGAAATGACCTTACTTTTAATGGTTGAAACTTCTTATGTCTGTTGTTTTTCTGTTGTACTGAAATTTAGACTCCAGTATAACCGCTTAAACAGGAAAATTGTTTAATCTTATTTTGGTTATGGCTGATGATAAATGTATTGAGTTCATTAAAAGCTGACTGGAGTCTCCACTTTTTTTTTTTTTTTTGAAGTAGTGTAGAAAATATTAAAAACTTCTCCTGTATTGGTATCTTGAAGACATTCTACTAATATGGAGTCAAAACCATGTTCTAAAAAGAACACGAGGTTGAAATGAGATATTTAATCAAGAATACAGGGTTTATTTTAATGATATTCTGTCATGATTAGTCTTTAAAATGCAGACTAATGCAGTCAGTTTTGTTTTAGCTAGTAATCTACTTGTAATGCTACTATAAGCTTGTTCAGGGTTAGGGTTTTTGATTTTTGGTTGTTTGGTTTGGTTTTGGTTTTAAATTCCTGAAGGTAGTTGGGTACTAAAAGATGAAGACTGGCATAAAGAGTGAAATTAAACCAAAGCCACCAGATGTTACTCTGCTCACAGTTGTCCTGCTTTATTGGAGTTTTTAAGTGTAATGGTTACTGTAGATCTGGTCCTTAGAAATTACTAATAGCTTAAGCAGTGTAACCAGGTGGCTGAAAAATGTTTTTGAAAAGTGCTCTGAAATACTAATTTATTGTTTGATCCTAGGTAATGAGGAGTATCTGATTAATTTAATAGACTCCCCAGGGCACGTGGATTTTTCTTCAGAAGTGTCTACTGCTGTCCGACTCTGTGATGGTTGCATCATAGTGGTGGATGCTGTTGAAGGGGTCTGTCCACAGGTGAAATAAAATATATTAATAGAGAAAGAAGGTAGAGAAGATAAAGCAAAGTCTTAAGTGTATTATGTAGAAATAAAAGATGAGCTGGTTTAAGAAATATTGTAAAACTTTTAATAAATGACAGTGTACTTGAGGTATGAAAGGGTAGTTAGTTTCAGACTTGTGCTGAAAAACTGAGCAGTGCTGGTGAGTGGGTCTAGTGACATAGGGTTGAAACAGTATTACCTACTTCTTAGGTAGTGGACCATTTGTATTGAAAAGAAATAAATGTCTTAAGTGGAATTAATTTCGTATCCTTATGTGTGCTCTTTGGGTATTGAAGAAATATGCAAAATAACATTGATATGGCTTTTTTCATGGCTTTTTATAAAGAGTTTTATGTTGTTGTGAGCATTTTTGCTATGAAACTGCCATTCTGCAGGATTTTATAATAACTAACGCTAGGTAATCAAATTTCCGGTTTGACTTTCAAGCTGTCCTTTACTCTCTGTTTAATTAAATTTTAGAATTATATTGTAATTTTCTTTAACTTTTGTGGTATCAAGCTTTCTGTAATGTTTTCTTAACAACTTCCTTCTTAATAGACTCAAGCAGTTCTGCGGCAAGCATGGCTAGAAAATATACGTCCAGTATTGGTGATCAATAAAATTGATCGCTTGATTGTGGAGCTCAAGCTCACCCCTCAGGAAGCGTACTCACACCTTAAGAACATCTTAGAACAGGTATTGGTGCTATTGTGTCATGTTCACACAGCAGATTTTGGTGAGGGTTTCTTCTTCCCCCTTTTCTCTATTTTTGAATTGAGAGACACTGTGATTTTCACTACTTTATAGCTGCAATAAATTTAGTCCAGCAGAAACTTTTTTTTTCAAGCATCATAACATCTAGTCTAATATTAAACACTGAGATACTTTCATTTCTGATTTTTATTCAGAATGCCCATGATAGAGAAGAGTATTAAATGCCTCTTGACAGGTCATCAGGAAGAGTCTTCATTTTTAGAAATAATATGCTGAATGTTTTGTTCTTCCTATTAAATTGGCTCAACTTCTTTGAAGATAGACAAATAATGTGCTTCAGCTGCTTCTGATATTGATGGGTTTATGCAGGCATGAAGTTAATTCATCTTTCAAGTCATAAATCAAGTTATTTTCAAACTTTGTGATTTGGTTGCCCCCCTGAACTTATTTTTAAGGACTTATCTGCCTGGTTTCTCTTTGTCCTCCTGTTGTTTGTTTGTTGTCAGTAACAAGTTTCTGTTTTGCCATTCGTTGTTCTGAGACACAAAGTGTATTACACATGGTACTCTATATCTCATTCAGTCCTGATGTGGCTGACTTTGAGTTGGAATGTACATGGTATTTAAGTCAAAATTTTAGTCTCATCACACTCCCTGTTCTGTTCAAATGGGCAGGATTAGACACAAGGTCTGTGCTTTAAATTGCAAAATGAATCACAGCCAAACTTCTCTTTATATTTTGGTGGGGAGAGGGAATTGCATTTTAATTGCAAGGGCTGTGAAAGAGTGATTGAATCTTGGGTTGTTTTATGTATCCTTCTGTAGATCAATGCAGTTACTGGAGCACTCTTTACCTCTAAAGTCTTAGAAGAAAGAGCTGAGAAGGAAACAGAAAGTGAAAATATTTCAGACACTGCACCAGGAGATCAAATTTATGACTGGAGTGCTGGATTGGAAGATACTGATGATTCACATCTCTATTTTTCACCAGACCATGGAAATGTGGTGTTTGCCAGTGCAATTGATGGCTGGGGTTTTGGGTAAGCCTGGGGTTTAGTTAATGACTTTTTAATTAATGATAGTGGTTAATCTTGAAGTATTTTCAG